TGGACACCTATGGGGAAATCCAGAACTGGGCATGTGCAAAGAAAGCTCCCTAGCTCAGGTGAAACCCAACCCTAAAGCTACCTAGGCTCATGACATCCCACAGGTGGGCCTGAACTTAGCCAATGGGGTTAGCCAATACACTTAGCCAATGGGGTTAGCCAATACACTTAGCCAATGGGGTTAGCCAAGACCCTCATTCACCACTTAGTCAATGGGGTTAGCCGAAACCCTCATCTACCACTTAGCCAGTGGGGTTAGCCAAATCCTCATCCACACCTCTCCCAGCCAGTGGGTGGGAGAGAGAAAGGCAGGGACACAACTCTGCGTGCTCTCTTGGCTCCTTGGCCTCTGAGGATTCCCCAGCTCCTCACGGGTGGGTTTCACACTCCCCACTCCTGTGTTCTTCCCACGTAGTTTTCAAGCCCATTTCCGAACCCCTTATGGCTTCTGTGCTGCCCGGCACGCTTTCCAGATATAGCATGTACTTTTTTGAGACTGTAATACCTGAAACTTTCCTTTCCTCCATAAAAACTCCCTTGGATTACAAAAGTGCTTCTACGGCATGAGTCCTTTTAACGCCATGAAACAAAGAACAGAGGTAACCCAATCCAGGAACCTAACCAAAAATAGACCTTGCAGTCAACCTCCAAATACTTTCCTTAATTAATTAAGAGTACTAACACTACAATTCCTTTCATCACTGGATTGGATACCCAATAGGTCTGGCCCTATAAGAAAGTATTCACAGCCTACAAGCAAGTAAACCTGTACTTGAGCTGCATGCGAGTAGATCTAAGGTTGGCAGGTTTTGGAAAGAGAAAAGGCATGGATGGTGAAGGAGAAAATACTATCACGATTCAATTTGCTTTGGGGACGTGTTTTTGCTATTTGAAAAGCTGCTGTCTATTCCGAAACATAATCTTCAAGCACCACAATCTCCACCCTGGTAGAAGGTGGCTCAAGATTATTTTTAAGGGACCCCACGGCGTCTCCTGCTATCCCCACTGCAGTATTTACCAAGGACAAGAAAGGACACCAGGAGACAACATAACTACACTAACCCTTTCATTTTCAAATGTTGCTTCCCAGTTAAATGGAGGCAACATCAGTTAAAAAGTTTTATCATAAAGCTTACAGCAGGCTATAGAGGTGGCTTGATGCCAATAAAATAAATTCTAAAAATCTTTCTATCTTAAATAGCCATGGGAGATGCCTATAACTCCACCACATAACTTATTATTGGTTTCACATCAGAAGCAGCAGGAAGTGAAAGGGGAGAAACGCATTTAGAAACTACTTCGAAACAAGTATCACAGAGACAGTTGTGGGTAACAGAGCGAAGGTGACTATTCCACTGATTCTCAGGCTTTCACTCCCCAGTTGAGTAATGGCAAGCAGCACTTCTCAGGAGCAGTCACACATAACAAGGCCTGCTCAATTCGGTTTCCCTGGAATGGTGGTGAAAATTATTAACAGAATGTGTGATGGATTGAATTAGGTGGCTTCCCCGCCCCAAACAACAAAAACTAAAAGCAACCTACTGCAGGTGAGTCGATTCTGACTCACCCAGATCTGTGTCGGGTTTCTGAGACTTGCATCTTTAGGCGAGCAGACAGTCTCACCGCCTCCTCCCCCTGCCACCCCCCAGCAGCAGGGGGCTTTGAACTGTGCTGGAAAGCCCGGCCTGGGGAGGGCTGTCTTTGTTATGTGAATGAGGCAGGTGAAGTGTTAAGTGAGTCTTGAGTCTATCTCTTTTGAGATGTAAATCAGACTCAATGCCAAGCCCTCAGAGCAGAGATGGGGTCAGTGAGACACCAAGCCACAAAAAGACCACCCAAGAGTAAAGTTCAGAGACACAAGGACCTTCTTCCAGGGCCAAGTGAGAAATAAAGCCTTCCCCTAGAGGCAGCACCCTGAATTCAGTCTTCTAGTCTCTTAAACTGTGGGGAAACACACTTCTGTTTGCTAAAACCACCCATTCAGGGTAGTTCTACGGGAGCCCAGGGAGCACGCTCTTAGGAGTTGGGCTGCTAACTTCAAAGTCAGCAGTTCGAAACCACCACACTCAGAGAAAGATGAGACTTTCTTCTCCCGTAAATTTAGTCTTTGCGTAAATTTGTGCCAAAATGCATGAACAATGAGTACGGGAAAAAGAGAATATTTTAAAATTGACTGTGATAAAGATTGTAGAGCACTTCTTGATATGCCTGAACTACTGAACTGTATGAGAAAAAAAAAGTAAGTTTCAGAAACTCAACAGAGAAAGTGTTAGGTAGGCTAGCGTAGGGGTGGGATGTCCGTTAACGCATGCCCAGAGGGCCAAGCTACAAAAAGGAGTGGCGCACTGCACGCGCTCAGAGGTTCAGGTTTACAGCCGGGTACGCATGGGTGGGCACTGAACCTGGATTGGCTGACCTAGGCCAGGTGAATTGAATTCAGCCAATGGGGTCGTCCACCACGCCTCCCTGCGAAATCATTGAAAAGGCAGGAGCCCGGAGTCGGCAGAACTGTGGCAGAACCTTGGGAGTCTGCGAGCAGCTTCCAGGCAGAGGCTGCACGTTCGGGAGGAGTCCTATGGGTGCCTGTGTAAACCTGAAACTTCTTCTAATGCTCATAAAACTCACTTGGATCATGAACCAGGCTTCGGCGTGAATTCTTTCTCCCGTGGGGCCAAGGACCGAGGTATATCTAGCTCCAGAGAGATCTAACAAAAGTTTAACTCTGTCTTACAGGGTCGCTGTAAATCGGAATCAACTCGATAGCTGTGGGTTATTATAGTAGCACTGGATAACTAAGACCACAAGTTGTTTGTTTTTTTTTTTTTGGCTGCAAAAGGAAACTTTATTGTTTCCATTTGGTCCCCGGCTTGGGGGAGGGGCTCCAGGGCCGTGGTGCTGAGGCTGGCATGCAGACAGGTTCAGGCAGTGGGGTTAAGGCCGGCAGCGGGGAGCCATATTCCTAGTCATGTTTGAGGATGAACCTCTCGAAGAGATACTCGCGCAGCCCGGCCTGGGGGCTGGCCAGCCAACAGTTAGTCAGGTGGTCGCCCATCTTCAGGAGTTTCACCTCCTTGTCCAGAAAGTGGTTCTCCAGAAAGTCACAGAGATGGGGGTCAGCGTGAGTGGACCCCACGGCGTGCAGGTCCAGAAGGGCCTGGTTGAGTTTTTTCTCCAGGGCATGGGCAGCCTCCATGGCGTCGGGTTCTACCCCGCTCATCTTGGGGCGGCCTCTGCACATCCTGGGAGAGAGTGCGGCCGCCGCGCTGGTTCTGCAGCTTCCAGAGATGCTCGGCCCCTCGTGCTGCTCCTTCGCCAGCTCGTGGAAGAAGTGCCCCACGCCTTGCAAGTCCACATCTTCGTGGTCGAAAAAGCAGCCCAGAGAGAGGTAGGTGTAAGAGGCCCGCAGGTGCTGGTTGACCAGACAGTGGACGCCGGCCTCAGCGTTGGCGGAATCATTCTGACGGATCTGCGAGCTCGTGATGGGTCGGTTCGGAGGTCACCACACACCAAATAAGTGTTCGCTGTTCCCAATAAGAGGGGATGGCCAAGAAGATGGTGCCGAAGTTACTTCCAGAAAGGAAACGAGCGTGGCAGAAGGTTGGAGGAAGGGAGTCCCCGGGTCTGTTCCGTTCACACACTGTTGAAGCAAGACCCAGATCCACGGGACCACGGGGCGACCTTAGCGACCGCAAGTATTTTTAACATTATTCTGGAGACAGAAATTTCTTGTTCTACTTTACGAATGTTGTTGCAAGTACCAAACCAACACCGATTCCCTTTGTGCTGTGTCTTGAAGAGAAACCTCTGCAGACTCTTTCGGGTGAGCAGCATTGTGGGAAGAACTAAGTCACGTCCTGACCACAGAGCACACCCGATACCTGACAGGAAACCCGGGCGGGGAGGCTTCACTAGTGACTTCCTCGACCATTTCTAAGAAAAGCTTCCCCAAGCAAGCCTCTCGGTACATCAAGCAATAGAGCTGTATACGTACCATTCCATTTTTGGGATGATAATAGCTGAGTACTGGGAAGCGCCCTCCGTGTCGAAATGTAGCTACCTTTCTTAGAGCTTCATCGTCAATAGAGTTGGGGACAATGACAATTGGTGGGTATGAGGGGCAGACAGCAAATTCCTTATTGACGTAGCTTAGCCTCCATTCACTGGTCTGAAAAACACAAAATACTTTTAAGCGAAACAAGTATTTCGAGGTCACAGCAAATCTGGAGAATTTTAGAGGGCCTGGAGATCCACTTTCACACACCGGGAGAAGCCATCTTTCCAGTTTTCTGACCAGCATACCTAGCCGACACTAACACTCAGCAAGAAAGAGGGCCGTCCTTCAGGGACTGCTTCCTGCATGGCTAGGCCGCCCCTGTTCAGAGAAAGTTCTTCCTCATGCTGACCAAATCTCACTGTAACTTCCTCTCTCGTCTCAACCATGATTCCAGACAATGCGGCTCAACTTCTCTATTTCACATGGTACCCCATCGACTATTTGAAAGACATTTTGTCTCTAGTCTTCTACTTTCCAAGTTAAACAAAATAAATATATGCACGGGTTATTTTTATCAGATCATTCATCCTTTTCTGTGCACAGTTTGTTAACTGCCATTTGACAGCCCAGGAGGGCTGCCGCCCTCCGCATAGCGCAACAACAGCACACAGTAGTGCTGCAGACGCCGCTGCGCTTTAAACTGCCACCCCGGGTCCCAGTCACTGCTTCGACTCCCTGGGTGCTCATCGGCAGAGGTGTGACAGAAGCTGTAAAATGGGAAGAATAAGGCAGAACACCTGGCTTTAGTAATCTGGTCTTGGCAGCTTTAATTATAAAACCACAAAACTATTCCAAAGAGACAAAAGTGGTAGAATGGTCCTCCAGTAGTGTTCCAGGTACAAACATGGGCTTTGGACAGGCTCAGATCCCATTCACTACATATAAAGTTGTTGCTATGGAGAGACTTTTAAAGGACCAAGTAATTACTCAACAACTATCTTTCCTTGGATTGTAAAGTTACAAATGTCATTTTTCAAAATTAAAATAATAACTGAAATATAGTAACCCACTGGAGTAAGGGCAACTGAACAGCCTCTGACAAAAATTATCCAAAAAGCCCTCAAAAAAACAAACCATTTGTCATAAAAACCAGTCCAAGTCACAGTCACCTCATCTGCTATGAGAAAAGAAAGGCTGCAGCACCCACCTGCACGGGTATTAGACATGGACTAGTCAGCTGCGTCCGCCCTCCTCAAGAGGAGGGCTTACTTTCACAACTACAACAGCTGCGGACCAGTCCCCACGGCCCTGGTCTCAAGAGTGAACTCACCGTTGCAGCGTAGAGTTCAAACTCGTGCTCAGGAAGGAAGGCGTGCCAGCCGTCTTCTACGACTTCAAACATGGGCCGGTAAAAGAAGGGGTACATCAGCGTGATGGAGTCTAGGGTAGACAAGGCCTCGGGACAAAAAGAAAATGCGTACGTGAAAAAGGACCATACCACCATGCGAATGGAGCACGCTTTAAACGACCACTTGGTATTAAATAGTTACATTATAATCATAACAGGCAATCAACATATTCCTCTAATATCTTTATCATCAGATAGAATCTAATGTAAAGCTAATGTCTTTGCATCTAGCATCTAAAAAGGCACATAGCAGGCATTTCATACATTTTGCTAAATAAAAGAATAAGCAAAGTGCTTACCCAGTCTAGGAGAAAAATGCAACAATTCTTTCTTGAAACCATTAAATAAAAACTAAGAAAAAGACTAAAAATATCTATGGGGATCAGAGAACAACTAGGTTTTGGGTAGTCAGTAAGGCCTTCACTTAGTCTTACTCTGTCAATAGCGTAACAATGGCAGTGAGCATGGAGTATGAGATTGCTCCTTTGAGTAGCTAAAAGAGCCCTGGTGTCACGGTGGGTTAGTTGTTAGGTTGCTAACCACGAGGTCAGCAGTTCAAACCCACCAGCCACACTGAGGGACAAAGTTGAAGCTGTCTAATCTTATAAGGATTTAGTCTCAGAAACACATGTATCCCAGACCAAATACATACGGTAGCCAACTGAAAAGGGGAAACAAGAAAAAAAAAAAAAAAGACATGGTGAGAGGAGGAACAGGGCACTAACCCACCCAAGGTGAGGGTACTGTTTTTATCTCCACAGGGAAGGAGGGACCAGACTTCAACCCAGTGCTCCAAGACATGAATGCAACATACCAGCAAGAAGCAGGGAACCAATAGAGAGGTCTAACGGGCAGGTCACAATCCAAACTACAAAAGACAGCCCCTTCCCCCACACAAGAATTCACTTCAGAGGACAGCACTGAAGCTACAGCTCAGGGAGAGGGACATGTCTGACCAGAGCACACAGGAGCAAATGACGGGGGAGGAAAAGAGGATGGAGCACATCCTGGCCCAGCAAGCCGCTCAGAGCAGCCAAAGCACAGAAAGGACCATAGGGCTGGCCCTACTGCGAGACACGATGTGCCACGGGGTACAACACTGGAGACACAGTGCAGGAATTGCCACACTGAGGCGAAACACTAAGGGTGTGCAACAGAACAGCAAGGGGTACAGAGCAACCAAGTCCCCAGGGAGTACCGAAAATAGACTTTGGGGCCAGGTCGTGGCACCCCATCAGACTCTACCAGAAAACACTCCTAAAGGTAAACAAACAGACCTTGAACTATTTACAGGCTTTTCTTTTTTGTGTCATTTGGGGTTTTTGTTGTTGTTTGTTTTCCTGTCTTGTTTTTTGTGCATATTATTATCTCTGCAGGTCTCTCTAGATAAGAGGCGAGATAAACAATCTGGAGGAGAAAACAACTGGGTGCATGGTTGGGGGGGGCATTGGAGAGAGTGAAGCAGGGCAAAGGAAGTGGTTTAACAAACCCAGGGATAATGGTTCAACGATCCAAAATTGATGGCGAGGAGGGTACAGGAGGTCTGCTAGAGCTTGATCAAGGGCAATGTAACCGAGAGAAATTACTGAAACCCAAATAAAGGCTGAGCATGATAGTAGGATAAGAGGAAAGTAAAAGGAAAATAGAGGAAGTAACTAGGAGGTAAAGGACATTTACAGAGGTCTAAATACTGGCATGTACATATGTAAATATATTTATATATGATGATGTGGAAATAGATCTATGTGCATATATTTATAGGTTTAGTATTAAGGTAGCAGATGGACATTGGGCTTCTACTCAAGGACTCCCTCAATGCAAGAACACTTTGTTCTATTAAATTGGCATTCCATGATGTTCACCTTCCTGACACAATCACTGAAGACAAAGCGAGTGCATATGCAAATGTGGTGAAGAAAGCTAATGGTGCCCAGTTATCAAAAGATACAGCGTCTAGGGTCTTACAGGCTTGAAGATAAGTAAGCGCCCAACTAGCTGAGAAGCAACAAAGCCCACGTGGAAGGAGCGCACCAGCCTGTGTGATCATGAGGTGTCAATAGGATCAGGTATCAGGCATCAAAGAACAAAAAATCTTATCATTGTGAATTAGGGGAAGTGTAGAGTGCAGAACCAAAGCTCATCTGTAGGCAACTGGACATCCCTTTACAGAAGGGTCACGGGGAGGAGATGAGCCAGTCAGGGTACAGTGTAGCAAGGATGAAACATACAACTTTCCTCTAGTTCTTTAATGCTTCCTCCCCCCTTAGCCCCCGCCCCCCACTATCATGATCCCAATTCTACCTTACAAGTCTGGCTAGACCAGAGCATGTACATTGGTACAAATAGAGCTGGAACCATAAGGAATCCAGGACAGATAAACCCCTCAGGACCAATAATGAGAGTAGCAATACCAGGAGGGGAAGGGGAAGGTGGGGGAGAAATGGAGAACCAATCACAATGATCTACATATAACTCCCTCCCTGGGGGACAGACAACAGAAAAGTGGGTGAAGGGAGACATTTTGGACAGTGTAAGACATGACGAAATAATTTATAAATTATCGGGGGTTTGTGAGGGAAGGAGGAGGAAAATGAGGAGCTGATATCAAGGGTTCAAGCAGAAAGCAAATGTTTTGAGAATGATGATGGCAAAAAATGTACAAATGTGCTTGACACAATGGATGTGATTAAAGTTGTATGAGCCCCCAATAAAATGATTTAAAAAAAGAAACACATTAGGACAGGGGTTCTCAAACTTTTTAAACAAGGGGCCAGTTCACTGTTCCTCACCTATTGGGAGGGCCGGACTATAGTTAAAAAAAACAACAACTATGAACAAATTCCTATGCACACTGCACATATCTTATTTTGACGTAAAAAACAAAACGGGTCAAAAACACCCGGCAGGTCAGATAAATTTCCTCGGTGGGCTGCATGTGGCCCGCTGGCCGTAGTTTGAGGACCCCTGCATTAGAAGATATCATTGACTTGACGACAATGGATTTTTTTTGTTTTTTTAAACAAAATTCAAAAACCATTGTAAATGTGAACAAGCAGCCTCATCTTTCTCCCTTGGAGTGGCTAGTCGGTTTGAACCACTGACCCTGTAGTAAGGAGCCCAATGCTTATCCCACAGCACCCCAGGGTGCCTGAAATAAGGAGATCTTTGGATATTTATAATAAGAATTCTAGAGTGAGTCTGGTCTGAACCCCCCACCGTGGGGGATCCAAGAAGGGAACATAACTAATCAGCAATGGGAGCAAAGTCATGAAGCCCCTGAGGCACTCCAAAAATAGATGGCACTGGGCACAGCAGTGCCCGGAGCCCCGTTGGATCGGTGGGGAGATAGTCATAAGGTCAACAGACCGACCCAGAACTATGTATGGGTTTTCTCTCTCGCTCTCTCTTTTTCCCTCTCTTTTTTGCTCTTGAGCAGGTTTTGTTCGTTTGTCCTGTCTTTGCTGTTTCTGTTACATAAGATGGGCATGAGAAGCAAACCCCAGGAGAAAGCAGCAGGACCGACGGTTGCGGTTGGGAGGGTACTTTGGGGAAGAAGAGGTGGGGGAAAGGGAGTGATAAGCAAATAAAGGCACATGCAGGGGAACAACTAGGGATCTGAAATGGAAGGTGAGGAGGGTGCATTTCCTGGAGGGGTTGGAGCACCCGTGCTCTAGCCGAGAGGAATTACGGAGAGACAAAGGAGGGGTGAGCGTGATAGTGGGGCAGGAGGAAGATAAAAGGAAAGAGAAGACAGGACTAGGGAGCAAAACTATTTATAGAGGCACAAACACAGATGTGTACATATGTAAATATATTAATATGTAAAAGCTGGAGTATTGGCCTAGTACTTATATTCATAAGGCACTACATTGAGGAAGTGGACAGACTTTGGGCCTCTCCTCAAGTTTTCTCTCAACACAAGAACACTTGGTTTTGACAATCTGGCAATGTGCGATGCCCACTTTTCCGACACGATCGCTGAAGACAAACTGGGTACCTAAGCAAATGTGGTGAAGAAAGCAGAGAATGCCCAGCTATTAAAAGGTATTAGCGTCTGGGGTCTTAAAAGCTTGAGGCCAAACAGTGGCCATCTAGCACGGAATAAACAAAGCCAACACATGGAGAAGCACACCAGGCTGTGTAATCATGAGGTGTCAATGGGACAGGCATCAGAAGTTCAAAAATACACAACCTCATCGAAGTGAAGGAGAGACCCAGAGCTCATCTAGGGATAGCTGGACATTCTAGCAGAGGGGCCAACATCCAGGGTGCAGTTTAGCACCAATGAAACACACAACACTTCTCTAGGTCCTTAATCCTTCCTCCCCCCACTATTATGATCTCAGCGTCCTACCATGCAAATCCAGCTAGTCTGGTGTACCTACATTGGTATAGATGAGAGCTTTCAATTTACGGAATTCAGGACAGACAAACCCCTCAGAAGTAGTAACGGGAGTAACTATTCCAGGAGGGTAGGGGAAGAGAAAGGAGGAGAAGGGGGCGCTGATAGTTATGATGACGAAATAACCCACCTGGATGCACGAATACCAGGATTGTAGGTGAAGGGACAGAAGGGGAAGTGTAAGATATGTATAAATAATACATAATATATTAAGGATTTGCAAGGGTGGCAGGGCAGGGGAGGGAAGGAAAAAAGAGGAACTAATATCAAGGGGCTCAAGAAGAAAGATAATGTTTTGAAATTGTTGATGGCAATGTTTGTACGTATCTGTTCAATATAATGGATGTATGAACTGCATAATATATTTAAGAGCCCCCAATAAAATGATTTATTAATAAAAATTAATTTTTTCAGCAAAAAAAAAAAGAATTCTACATACATCAACTAATTCCAACATCAACAGTAGGTGATATTATGTTCATTTTATAAAGTAGGAAATGAATAAGAGAAATGTGGACTCTACCCCAAAACTAGAAGTAGTAAAATTAAGAGTCAGACTGTACACCAATTACAAAAAGATCTACGAGGGGGCTTCAAGAGGTGTGTGGAGAACAGGATTAAGAGAGAATGGAATTTTTAAACAAACATTGGGAAGCCCCTTTGTATTGGTACACTAAAAAGGAAAAAAAATCTTATTTCTAATTGTTGATTTGGTAAAGAAGTAAACACTGTACTTGATTAACTCTCATTTGTGGTTTTGAATGCCTCTGAAGAAGCTCCTGGAGGCAGATGGATCCTCTCTGCCCACTGTAACTTTAAAAAGGAAACTGCCACAAAGGATCTTATTTTCCCCATGGACTGGAACCAAAAAAAGTATACAAACTGTCTCTGGTATGAAGAAAATATTGATATTTGTATAGTGACCATGAACTATCAAGCAAAACTTTAAAATACGTCCCAAGAACCTTTTACTTCCTTTAATGGTTTCTTCAAATAAGCACTTACACATATTTAAAGAAAAACCCATGGAAACATCATCTATTAAACAATCTCATGTGAATTTCCTAACCCTATAACAAAGCTTGATTGCTCATGTAAGATAAGTCACACGAAAAACTTCTGACAGTCAGTAAAGCCCCATTACATTCCTCTAACAACGAATCAGTCGAGACTTTTCCTAAATGTGTTTAATATGTGAGCCACGGAATATGCCCACATGCCTGATAAAGAAACATAAGAGGAGCACCAAGTCAGACAGAAGACTCTTCTTTGTCGATTTATTCTTATTAGATTGAGTCTCCTAAGTACTCACCTCGATGGAACTGGCTATATTCAAACATTCCTCCATTCCAGGAATATCCAACTGAATGATTCGGAGATCTTTACATTTTATGATGATGGTACCCAGTGACCCCACAAACCTGTGAGAAATCACAAATCATGCTGAGGTATATGAGGATGGTATATGACTTGGTATATGAGGATGACTTTGAAAAGACACACCGTTACAATCCACTACGTGGCACTTCCTTCTCTTCAATCACTGTCACGGAGTCAAGGCCGCATTCAAATGGAAGACATAACATTTTACTCCTTTCCAACCTTGCAACAGTCCATTAAAATATAGGACCCCCTTTTCAACATAAAAAACAATTTGTCTTAACAATATCTACAGTAATCAAGTCAAACCAGAGAAAATGCCAAATTTAATCCCAAATTTTGTCTCTGTAGGTTTCATATAAATTGAACCAGATTTTACCTGGGACTATTGTCTTTTATTGCTGTTCACTCCTATTTCCTCTTTGGCTTGGCCACTGAAAACATTGTTCCCAACGTTTTCCACCAAGTCTTGAGTGTTAGCTAAACATTGAATTTTTTGGTTGATAACAAGCATATCATTTTCCTTAGGGATTTCTTGTTCGGATGTTAGGAATAAGCTCGTGATCCTGATTGTGCTCATGGTGCCACAAAGGCCAGCACACAGCGAGCTGTTCCCTGGGAATGTGTGGGGTGGTTGCTGCGTCAATGACATCGCAATAAAGCGGCTTTAAAGATCACTCTTGCTGCGTGAGCTAGAAATGACTCAATAGCCACGTGCCCTAAAAAGAACCCAGCAGCAAGCCCCACACTGTTTCAAAAGGAGACTTAACGTGGTTATCCTTCTGTTCATTTGGGCATCGTCTGTGCTTTTGTCCTGTCAGACGAGTATTGTGTTTCGACAGCCTGCTTGGCTTTCTTCACCACGCTCACGCTCACGCACACGGAGTGACCAAGGGAGCAGAAGGAGCTGCACACTCAATCACTCAGTTTCCACTGATCTATCACTTGTAGAACAACAGCCACGGAAAACTGCTTTTAAAAAGCACCAGAGTGCATCGGCGTTCCGAGCTTTCACATTAGGAGAGATACCAAGACATGCAAAGCGGGTAGTAGTATAGGTAATATGTAATTAAATGTTATAACAAGTGACTCTTCCAAGTAAAATGCAGAAAGAAAAGAATGGAACTGATAATTATTTTTTTATATATGAGAAAATAAGTAAAAATCACATTTTCTAATATTTAACAATGAAGTAACACAGTCCTATATCCACTGGTTCAATCTTATATAGTAGGTAGGTGGGGGCTAGGGGGTGTCCTAAATAACAGAGAGTCCAACTCCAGGGCCCGGTGTGTGTAGCTCTCCCTCAGGCAGAGAGGCATAGTGTTTAATTTAAATGTACCCAAGTTAGTGGTTTTATTAACTAAGCTTTGACCAAACTAACTCACAAAAGGAGCAAGTGGTTTGAGATTGAAATGTATGCTAGACTCAATAAGGGTGACCTAATTTTAAGAAAAGGAGGTGACACATGTATTCCTAACACCTGCTTTTGATCTGTCACAACATAAATTAATGACCCTGTAACTGACAATGAACCAAAATATGTGAAATTATCAAGACAACAGTTTGAAATGCATATTTCTATCTACCATTAACAACCAACTTTACCCTGACTGCATTTTATATTTTGAGATACTTGCTCTAGTATGAAATCACAGTTGTTTGTGAATAAAAAATACCAACATTAAATACCATTTTTCAAAAATAGCTATCTTATCATTGATGCTGTTTTCATGTCTATTTATATATATCAGTACCCACACCCAGTCCACTGTTGTCAGGTTGATCCTGACTCTTAGCAAATACATGCGCCGTAGGGTTTCCAGGCTGTAAACCTTTATAGACACAAACTGCCACATCTCTCCCAGGGAGCAGCCCATGGGTTCAAACTGACAACCTTCCAGTTAACAGTCATATGCTTTGAACTGTGCCACTCTTGTGGCTGTCGTGAGGTGTCGTCGAGTAGATTCTGGCATGCTGGGACAACCGAACAAAAACCTGTGCCACTAGGGATCCTTCCATCAGTACAATGGGGTTGTCCGGGGTCCTCGAGCCGCTCAGTGGCCGCATGGACAAGAGGACAAAACGCTGTCTGGTCTTGCCCCATCCTCACAACGGTTCTTCTATTTGAGCCCATTGTTGCAGGCACTGTGTCGATCCATCTTGTCGGGGGCCTTTCGCTCATATATCAGGGTAATCGTACATACATATAAAACATCAATCAGTATGTGAGGGTGTTCAAAAATGTTTACGTGATCAATAAGAGCCAAGTGTGGTTCACTTCCTATGCAGCTTTCTATGCCAGCGCCGGGAAAACTTAAGAAACCCCAAAACACAACTGCTAGATTTAAAAGTTGATGCAATGGGTTTGAAAATTCAGAAGAAACAAGAAACTTAATGAGCCTACATACAGCCATATATTGACAAATGTATGTAAGCAAAATCTATACTGACTTTGGATCTTCAAAGGAACATCAACAACAACTTCTCACCAAAAGCATTATGTGTCTAAACCAGAATGCTTCCCTTCTTCTGTTACGTCTACATTTTAATCAATAAATCAATAAAAAGAAGAGGATAATAGGCCTCTTAAGGAAACTGCTTTCATGATCAAGTGGTGAGTTTTTCATCTCCACAAAATTTCCATGATTCACACCAATTGCCAGGATCCACTTCATTTGGCTTTCTCTGTTTTCTTGTGCACACAGTGGTGAGCTTGGCTACTGGCCTGACAGGTCAGCCGTTCAAATCCACCAGCTGCAATTGAATCAATGGCAATGTGTCTAGGTTTAGCTATTTCGTCATCCATGCCCTATCTTAGCACATAAAGTACTGTGTTACACTTGGCCTACATAAGGAGCCCTGGTGGCACTGTCAGGCAAGTGTTGAACTGCTATCTTTGAAGTCAGCAGTTCAAACCCAACTGTCACTCCATGGAAAAAGATAAAGCTATCTGCTCCCATAAAGACTGCGAGCTCTGGAAGCCCCAGAAAGAGTCACTATGAGTTGGAATGACTTGATGGCAGTGGGCTTCTTTGTTTTTTCTTGGCATATATATATATATTTATATATATATATATAGTATATATTTTTAATATATATATAAAATAGAGCAGCTGACTGTTCCGTGTCTCTCTTCTGATCTAACTGGGAGCGGCCTGAACCAGAGCTCTCACGGGGGGGGGGGCTGGGGGGAAGCTGTGCTCATCTGAGAGTGACTTGTACAACTCAGGATTTGGAAAGTACTGTGTACAGGCGGGACTTGAGAATGTTAGCATATTGCAATATTCTAAAAAGTCACAGGGTGTAGAAAGAAACTGGAAACAATGGTCCATTCAAAAGAATTCTTTGCCATTGAGCCAATTCAGACTCAAGCAACCCTATAGGACAGAGTAGAACTGCCCTACTGGGTTTCCAAGGGAGCCCTGGGGGTGCTGCCGGTGGTAAGTACTGGAAAGTATTGCTAAGCACAAGGTTGGTTAGAGGTTCAAACCCAATAGCTTCTCCAGGGAAGAAGTTGAGGCTATCTGGTCCTATAAAGATTTATAGCCTTAGAAACCCTATCTAGAGACACAATGAGTCAGTCAACTTGATGGCAGTTCATTCTTTGGGCAGTCCATGGTATATTCAATATTTTTCGCTAAAACCATACTTTAAAGGCATCAATTCTTCTTTAGTTTTCCTTGTTCATTTAGTCAGCTTTCGTCTGTGAAGCGACTGAAAATAGTAAGGCCTGGACCAAACAGACATCTGTGCTTTTTAACACTTTAAAAGAGGCCTTTTCCCCCTGCAGATTATGCAGTCATCTGTTTGATTTCTTAACTGCTGCTTTCTTGACATGATCTAGTCCTGCTTATCACTCTACAGTTCTACCAGCCCCATTCCCACTGGTCTTGGGCTCAGTGCCTTTCAGGCTCTTGCTGTTTCTGGTCCAGGTCAAGCATATTGCAGTGATAGGGTCTTTGCATTTGGTGTTCCTTCTGGCTAAACTATTCTTTGCCCAGATATTCACAATGCTACCTTCCTTCCACTCTCTGCTCAAATATCACTTGCTTTCTCCTAAAATCCTTTTAAAATAAATAACTTCCGGATACTCTATCCTCTTGTGGTAGTTACAAAATCTAGTTACATATCCTGTCAATCAGGGTATAGCCAATGAGGCCTCTGTGTGGGCATGGCCTTCTCCTGAGGATTCTGGGAACTCTTTTATTCCTCCTTGGAAGCGGGAAAGACTGAGTCTTTGTCTCTCACTCCTGGCGAGACATCCCTGGCTGATGAAGCCAGACCTCTGGAGCAGGAGGAGCCACGGAGAACCCTGCCGGCGCTGAGATGTTACACTGCCACTGGATCCACAAGCTTTCCCACCCACTGCCCTGTGATCTTCCTGCATTTGGCGTCATTGCATGTGTTTCGTGAGTCTGAAGAGGACTTTATAGATTAGTATCAGACCTATGGGCTAATATCGGACTTATGGAATTGATCTGGACTGGGCTGAGATGTTTTCTCAATATTCAATTGCTCTTGTATATAAACCTCTTTCTTATACACATATGAGTGTGCCTATGAATTTGTTTCTCTAGTTTACCCAGACTAACACACCTCTATTTTATTTCTTTTCCTTCTTGGCACATATATTTATATGATACTATCATGTATTTATGGATTAGTCATCTCCCCAACTAGTGTGCAAACTTCCTGTTTATCTTATTAACCACTGTTATCTACAGAGCCCTCACATGGATACATGTGTATACAAAGTTCAGCACATAGAAGAGACACTGTAGTAAATATTTCTTTAAATCATCCATCACACAAATTCTGGCTTGTCCACATAGCTGACAATCCTTCTGTTAAAGCATGTTGCTTTCCAGAAAACAAAAAGATGAACGTGTAAATAGTTTGTCATTTCTCCCCTATCAAGTTAAAAATCCATGTCTTAAAAAATTCTTTATGACCAGGCCCAATACCTGGTAATTGATAAATATGATGAAATGAATGAATGAAAGGCACCATTAATAGAGGTAGATAAGAAAGGATAGGTGCCTTGGTGGTGTAGTGGGTTACTTGTTGGGCTGCTAATTGCAAGGTCAGTGGTTTGAAACCACCAGCTGCTCTTTGTAAAGATTTAGTCTGTCTTAAAGATTTCGTCTCGGAAACCCACGTGAGTTGGAATTGCCTTGATAGCAGTAAGTCTTGGTTTTGGAAGAAATAAAATTGTGTGGAAAGTCATGGAGAGAGGGATAATTTGTATTCTATGGCTCAAGGACCATGCTGTGGTCATTCTTTTATATCCTGTGTCTATTCTGCCCAAACCATAGTTTAAAAGTTGTGAAGGAGACAAAAATTAATTGGACATTGAATCTTGGCTTCAAGGAGTTCACAGATATGTAGATTTGAAAATACACTTAAGGGAGGTATAAGGAAAGGACTATCGGATTATAAGGTCAAGGGAATGACTTCCCTTTGTGGAAGGATTTTGTTAATTTGTAGCAATTGAGCGGACTACTGAAAGATGGCACAGTTGGATGAGTCTCTGAACTCAGAAAAGACAAGTACATTTCATTCATTTTGATGTCCTTAGTGCTTCACAAAATGTCTGGACCATACAGACATTCTATCAATATTAAACAAACAGGAAGAGCAAAGCACTCCAGAAGGGCAAACCTATCAGGACAGAAATGAGAAAATGCTAGACACGAATGAGCAACAACATGTGAGGAGTGGCTCGTGATTGGGTTCATGGGAGGAAATGTCAAGGAGGAAAAATGGGAAAAGGATGTCAAGGCCAGAACATGGAGTGCCATGAACAGCAGGCCAAGGGACTTAGACTTTACTCCGCACACAGGAGACCACACAGGAAAATCTGACCTAAAAAATCCAGCAAGAGGCCTCTGCATAAAGAAAGAAATCACCCTTTATCCATACTACTTGAAATTCTACCATTAGGCATTATTTTATTTTCTGACAAAACTTCTCTAGAAATCTTCTCAATGTCTAAACTGTCATGAGAGATCACTGAAAAAGCTATTACCATGTGCTTATACTTTAGTATAAATTACACAGTACTTTCTCAAGGTTAGAGACCCAGGGCCACTGGGAAAATAGGATTCTGTCTCAGCGTAGAATTATGACTTTGAGGTGGAATGATGATTTTGAGGCTTGGCAGACGAGAGCCAATCTTGTTCTATCCAAAAGCAGAACTGAACAATGATGACTAGAAGACATGTACATATCCAAATATATTTATACGAGGATGGGGAAATAGATCTATGAGCCTACATTTATAGGTTTAGTATTAAGGTAGCAGAAGGACATTGGGCCTCCACTCA